TGACTTCCACTTGTCGACTTTCTTTTTTTTTTTTTTCTTTTTTTTTTTTACGCACCTGCTGTAGTGCTAGTGGTGCTGAAGAAAGTCGACATGTATTTTCTTTCGTTAATATGATATAACGTACAGCAATTTAGCCCTGTGCTTGTGTCTAGTATGTGTGCGCTCTGTACATGGGCGATGCTGTTTTGACTGCATTTGCGATACGTAATTGATGATTTCCTTCCACAGGCAAAAGTCATGTTCCACAGGTGAAAAGTTATGACTCTGTCTCTTATACACATCTAGATGTGTATAAGAGACAGGTTTGCCACGGCCCCTCGTTTGTTGTCCTCTTCTCCCTTTTGTCCCTCTCTGCCTATGGTTTACCGTAGGCAGCTCTGTTTGACGATATATATACCGGGCAGTTCTATTTGACGATATATATATATATATTTTTTAATTTTATTTTTTATTCTAAATTTGGTGAAGCATTTCGATGTGACCTTGCGGCAAAAGTTGTTCAGTTTATTTTTCTGCATAACATAGTTTTTTTTCGGATTTTTTTTTTTTTGGTTTTTTGTTTTTTTTCGGCTGGGACCTTCCGTGGTCCTTGCACGGGCTGGCCACCCGGAACCCAGGTGGCCCGGCTGGTAGCCTAGGTTTGAAATGATTTTTAAATAATTTTTATGATTTTTTCGAATAATTATTTGCTGTTTTTGTAACGTCTTTCCAGAAAGTTTTCTTTTCTTGGTCGCTGAGATCGGGATCTCAAATTGGGATCTCGGCTTCCAATATGCTTGGCGGAACCACATGCGGCCTTGTGCAGGAGTCTATAAGGTACCTGCTCTGCCTTGACCTTCTCTGCGTTTTTTTTTTTTTTTTTTTTTTTTTTTTTTTTTCTTCTCTACTGCTTTTTTTCTCTTCTTATTTTTTTTTTTCTTCTTCCTTGCTTTTTTTTTTTTTTTTTTTTCTTTTAATTCTTCGTCTTCTTTCTGGTTATCTGTGCTTGTGTGTTCAGACTAAATCCACGACAACCACCAATACTAATTAACTCATGAATTTAATCATTTTAATGTGCGATAATGAAAGGCATTCC